TATTTTTCAATTTTCGTAAGAATTTTGATAAGACTCTTGATAAGTTCATCCAAACAATACTGATGGGGTTGAGATGTAACAAGTGTTACAAACTGATTCTTTTTCTAATTTACACTGCTTAAAAGTAACGATATTAAAAATCATTTAATAAGTAAACCGTTAGGTACATAGAGAATTTTCTTTATAATTGCAAAAAATCTGCTTACGAAAGACTTAAACGGCCCCAAATTTAAAAATTTATTTCAATTTGTATGGTCTATGCATGTATGTCGTGCAATTTATCTTGTGCCTCTTGTGATGATATATCGACGTATAAGTATCTAAGTCATGCATTTACTTTCTGTAACGTAGTAAAATTTTCTCATAATTCGCGACAGAATGTGAAAAAGCCATGCAAACAATTTGCAAAGTGCGTTGCATGCAAGAGAGTTCTTTAACGAGACATGTTTGCTACTGTAATTGCGGAGACTCCAACAGTGGGTTAAGCGACGAACCTCCGAGAGCGCGTACGAAATCACGACTGTTACGACGAGCGGCTATGAGTCAAACCCCTGGTATTTCTTTAATTTCACAATTAATTACTTCCTATTCGAAATACCTGTGGACACAGCAATGGAAATTCCTAAATTTGTTCACTAAATTCACATATTACGTAACGCAACATCTTCTACTTCGAGAAGTATTCGATCACTGATGGTACCAGTTACATGTTTCGCTGATAAATACAATTTTTAAGCAAATAAACATTTTAAATTCCAGAACAAACTACGATTTTGTAAGATACGATACTGAAAGATTCCAGAGTTCTTCTTTAAAGCAAAAGTCCCCAATTCTATACGGACTACTGTGGAATTACACAAAGTTTCATAATTATTTGCCAAATTTATTGTTTAATGAACAATAATCTACATGTGGTCGTCTATAATCTTTGGCACGTATCTAGGACATCAACGCGAGAAAAGCCGGGACTAAATCCTTTTGTGAAACTTTGTACTCATTGTCACATGTACAGAAAAGGAGAGAGGGTATGGAATATTTCGAAAAGAGTAATACAATTTGTACAATCGAGCTTCAGATTCGTAGTTCTTCATAAAATAATTTAAGCATTTTGTCTTCCTTTTAATAATAAAACTCAATCATAAATTTAAAATATCAACTTAAACTTAAAATTGGTTTTGATCCTTATACGCGATATGAATTAGAGATGCACGGGATAGAGATGTTACTGGGTACGAGATAATCATTTTTATGGTTCGTTTCCACAATTAATTTGTTCTTTATTGTAACGTGTTATGTGAATCGTACGGTGTTGTGTAGAAAACAATATCTGTTTGTTGTTAATTAGAGTCATCGTTCATAGTTTGTTCGCTTTAGTTAGTGCTACCACCATAGGCACTATTATTATTGTTATAATACCGTTAACCGAAAGTGAAGTTGTAAGCAGCGTGCACCATTTTCGGTTCCTTATTATGACCTACTCCACTTTTTCAGGATCTTACTTACTTATTTGAGTACCCAGCAACATCGTTGTCTCGACGCGCCGCTTCGCTGCTGTTGTTTTATTCGCTGTCTTTCTTATTACTTCGCTACTGGTACTACCAGCCGATTTAACAATACACAAAATAACATCATAATCTACAACATTAATTATGAAACTGAAAATATGAATTTTTATTTTTGGATTAAAAATAAGTTTTAAAAATTAATGTAAGTCATTTGGTAGTAGAGGAATTGCAGTATACTTGGGATACTGCAGGTAACTTGGAATACTTCGATATCTAAATAATTATAAACGTTATCTGTATTTTTTTATCGTAAAAATAAAGTCATACGACACACGAAGCCATCGAGAACCACAAGGGAACGAGACGCCTACTTTGAAAAAAAATTTGGTAAGAATGCAATCAGTGATATATAATCATTCATCGTAATTATTTGAACTGTTAAGTGACCTTGTTAGTTTATGATGTTACTAGGATTTTGTGAATATATCTAGAATTAAAAATGTGACATGGAATTTTATGTTAGGATGGTATGTTGTTAATTTGGAATACCGAATAAGAACATAATTTGGACTTAATTAGATGTTATTTTAGTTTATTTTGTTAAAAAAGGATGATTACCTAAAGATATAAAACTGTTAGAAAGATAAGAAATCTATTAGTTTCTAAGGAAAAGTGTTAGCAAATGTAAAAAAAATGTGAATATAATTTGGAATACTATATTCCAAATTACCTGTACCCTAAGTCAAATCTACATTTTGGGGTTTTTTAGTTTGATAGGCATTTTGATAAAGTTTCTGGTTTTTGTTATGTTTGATTGTTTTTATTATTAAAGTTTAATAATTTGTCAATCATTTAATGTATTTTTTGTCATGTAAGCGCGGAAAGCTCGTTTTGCGTGCTATGAAATAGGGAAGAAATGGCCTCTTTTAAGCTGTGTTTTAGTCCGGAGGCAATGAAATTAGTCTTTTCAGCGTATGCGCTGAAGTTTATGGGCAGTATTCCAAATATGCTGCAGTTCCTCTATATTTATTTTTAACAAGTGTTTTTTCTACAAAAACAATTTTTTTAAGATAATTTAAGTTTCTGGCTCAAATAGCAATATTGGTATCAGACAGAGAGATAGACAACTAAGACAGACGACAAATACTGTTTAATAAAACTAGTAACGGCCCTGTCATTTTATTTTACCTAATTTAATGTAAGAAAACTCTCAAAATATATCTGTACTTTGAGTTATGTGAACGGTGTCACAATGATGTTTTTCGATTTTTCTGATTTTTTCGATATAATTCACGATTATATATGCTCACCCGCAAAACCTCGAATTGTTACGAAAATGTATATTTTTATGATATGCGTTTTTTCGTAGCCGTGTGACCAATCGCTCCGCACTATTTTTAATGAACGTAAAATACCGACACCTTTAATTTATTGATGTTTGGTACAACTGCAGCGAAATACTTGTAAGAAATTCGAACAAATGTCGATGAAATACAAAACGTTTAATAAAAATTAAGACGAATTTTCGTTTCAATTCGCAATATCAATACCTATTAGAAATTTACATTTAAATCTTCACTTGCTATCAAACAGTTTTAATGTAATAGATCCAATAAAAGAAATACTCGTCAAATATCTACCCACGGTTCCATTATACAGTTAGCTTTTTTTTGTAGTCAGTAGCAGGGTAACTTTTTGAATTATTTTTGCGTCTGGCAACATGGCAATTATGACTAATAACATTGCCGTGTAATAAATGACGATCACGGTATGCGAACTCCGCGCTAAGTAAGTAGTTAAGCCCGTTGAGTGGGAGGGGGCACGACTAAGGCACGCAGCAGGCTTATGACGTACTGGTTGGTACATATACGTTAGGTACCACCACAAAGTTTGTCTGTCGGAAGTGTGTTAGCAGTATCAATACGAGTAGTTGTTCGCTTTCTTCCTATCCCACCACCATTACCACACCTCGAGGTACCAACAACACATGTTTACACCCGTAGATCAACGAGGCTTTCAACCGAATAACGGATCTTCATCAACTTCCCATGATAGATGTTTTTATTATTAAAAAAAAATAACTGATTCAGTAAATTACAATATTTTGTTCAATAAATTATTTTGCTTTTGCGTTAGAGTTAACGCGTATAATCTCAAATGATCGATTACTTAAGTGATAGGACTCGGAATGTGACATATATATGTATTATGCTAAACGGGTGTTCCACAAGGGATTAGACTAGGGCCTCTACTGTTAATTGTCGGTTCCGTTAAAAAAATGAAAAGCAATATATTATTTCTTTCACCGATTGATGGTACAGTTGTGACGGGTGTTCCACAAGGGAGTAGACTAGGGCCTCTACTGTTTATTGTCGGTTTCGTTAAAAAAAAAAATGAAAAGCAATATATTATTTCTTTCGCCGATTAATGGTACAGTTGTGATATCAACTGCGAGCAGTTAGGCAGACGTTGAAATTAAGATGAATATAATCTGAAAATCAATTGGAACAAAGTACAAAAATAAAAAAAACTGTTAACTACCTCATAAGATACAGTTACTATAGTAGTAGTAGTAATACGTTTTCACAAAATCCCATTCAATGCAGTGTCACATTTTTTTTTGTTTTTTAACCCTCACCCCTTTTCGAGTGTGCGCCTCATTTAAAGTTGTACAAATGCATAAATATAATAATGATATATATCGAAAAATAAATAAAAATTCCTTAGCGCCGCTATGTTCATCTAATAAAGAACATTAAATAGTGTACATTGCACGAACTTATTTTAAACAATGAGATGTTACACATTGTGTTTTTTATTATTATTGTTGTTTTTTTTTGTTCGAAGATTGTCATGCGAAATAGTAAGGCTTCGTGTTTTAAAACAACGACCTTAAAGAGAAAGTTGCGAGCCATGTATATATAGGAATGAATGTGGGTATATAAATAAGTGTACTCGGACGTTAAATCAAGAGTCTCAAGAAGATCATTGCAATAACAAAACAATTAATGAAGTCTACAATACCTTGATAATGATTCTTTACTAGCAAAATTAAGAATATCACACTTACAAAAGGCTTTCAGAACTCCGTCAGTGAAAAAGGTTTCAGGTTTTAGTAATAAAAGATATAAAAGACAAACTGTTGCTGTTAATGTACGGCAAAAACTTAATAGAATCTTCATACCGGCTGGTTAATTTACTATGCGATTTCAATATAGATTATCGTTAAAGAAAATCATTCTAAAGGCTAAGGTTTCTAATAAATCATGACAAAAGCGAAGCTCTTGAGTCAGAAAAAGCTCCTGGGTCTTGAATATCATATATGTTGAAGAAGAAATTAAACTGATTTGATTTTGCGGTGGATATTACACTTAAAAAATTATTGCATGCCCAGTCAATTCTGCGATAATTTACTATTGAGTTAAGTCTCATGAATTCAGAAAGGGTGACCAACAATTCATTCTACTGATAGATTTGTGTTTCCTTCCATTTCAGAAAACCGAAAATGTTTCCTAATCCGACCAAAACATTTTTAGAATCTTCTTGACGTGTTAAAATTCCGTCTCCGCAATTTCATTGGGGGCCGTGGGGGCCAATAGCCAGTACGTTCGAATGAAAAACAATGAAATATCCGAACGTATCTGGTGGCAACAGCATGGCAGTTAGCAACAATGGTTCTCATCACATGGACGACGTTGACTCGCTATTTTCTTCATCGTGTTGGCAAAGTTCGGCAAACTCGCAAAACGACTTTATCGACACCCAAAAGCTGATGCTTGACAACTCGCCCATCAGCAATAACCTAATGGGATCGGACAAGATCCTCTTGGGATCACCGATTAGTTCCGAGCCTGACAAATCAACCATGGACGTTTTGGACAATCTCCTTCTGTCAACGTCAGCGCATCACCAACCCGTCAACACTAGTCTAGCGGAGCTAAAACCGTTACCGCCTTTCACAGGATACACAGGACATCTGAGCATCAACGGGATCCAAGGCCACCACTATCATGCGATCTCGCAACGAATCCCCGAAGAAAACAACAACACGTACAGCAATTACAACGAACAGAACAGTATAGTTTCGAGTTCGACGTGTAATATCAGTGCCGATTCGGCCGCGGAACAGACATCGAACAAACCAATTTACGGTGTGGACGAGGTGGTTGGTAATATAAAGATCGAGTACGCGGAGTGTTCCGGCGGCAATCCCGATTCCGTTTCCGGTTCGAAACTGTTCGACGATTGCTCCCAGCACAGTGCAGTGATCAAAACCGAAATCGCCGAGTACGACATCTCATCAATCGAAGATATCGCGGCTATAATTGGCTCGGCGATTGCAGATACGACCGTTCCTAATAACAACCAAGTCGAAGGAGACGACGCCGCGTCGCGAGACAGCTGGATGGACCTGGACGCGTGGATAGAAGGCGCTTGCGGCGACCAACAGAAAAACCTTATCATTACTCCCGAAGGACTATCGGAATTCATAATACAAAATTCCCCGCATAGCAGTTCCGAATACAAGTCGCAGCCGCAGGTCGAATTTCCTAATACAAAACCGACTTCCCATCAACAGTCCACGACTTCATCAACGTTGCAAACGCTTCTCACGCACGGCTACATGCCCCTATTGCAGAGCAGGCTGCAGAATGGACCTCCTGTTAAACAGGAAGCTGCCAGTTCCACGAATTATGGCGTGGAACTCTCATCCACTTCTAGTCCGCCAGCAAACGTCGTATCCACGACCGATAACCTGATGTTAACAGTCAACGGACGATATCTTCAACAGTATACCGTGCACGGTATAAGCCCGGAAGATCGGATTCGAAGTCCCGAAATGCTGGGCGCGAATTATCCACACACCACAACCACAACGACGCCGAACGTATCGAAGAAATCGAGAAGTCGGTCTCAAAAGAAGCAACAACAGCAGCAGGCGGCCAGTTCGACTGTTTTTCAGACGGAACAAAGTCTCGGATTGTTGGGGAAAGAGAAGCCCGTGCACCGATGTAGCATTTGCAATCGGGGATTCCTTAACAAATCGAATATTAAGGTGCACTTGAGGACGCACACTGGCGAGAAGCCGTTCAGGTGTGACACATGTGCTAAGGCATTCAGGCAAAAAGCCCATTTACTTAAGCACCAGCAAATTCATAAACGAATAGGACGGGATTGATATCGCTTTCATGTGAACATATGACCGTTGGTAAGTGATATAGATACAGTATGTACATAGCCTAATGTGCAAAAAAGCATTGCATAAATACGTATTGGATCCTAAACGTTCCTTAACTGTACAACAAAAATACGTAGGCGCTAAAGGAAGGTACTACCAAGAAGTGTTGATCCGACAAACTGAATATTGGTTTGTAGGGTTAAAAATACTAATCGTTACACTACTTCAGGTACTTGAATTATTTATATTGTACTAAAGATATTAACAGCGCTCTAAATGAAATTAAATAATAAAAAATAAATCCTCAATATTATGAGAAATGTGGAATTGATCGTTTTGGAATATCACTGAAAAATATCTCACTAGTTTTGGTTTCTCTTCAAGCTTCTATTTCCATAAACGTTTTCTTCAAAAAACAGTTCAATTTTACTGCTTTTATTCTACATGTAACTGTTTCAAGTAATTTAAAGTACAACAAAGAACGCACTTGTCCTCTGAAAATGTAGATCGTATTCTTAAAACCAAATTTTCTTTATGTTTTACATTTATAAAGGCGTTTGCCCCCATTTAAGTACATTGTAAAATTTATCAGCTGAATATTTTAATTTAACGCTCAACTGGACTTAGAAATGCAACTTAAGGAAAAACCAAACAGTCAGACCCTCTCACAATTACAACAATTTCACGCTTATCGAAACAATCAATTACATTCCAATAAGCTTATGTATAACTTCTTACCTAAACACTACAATTCTCATACTATTGTTTGGTATAGTTTGTCCAATTTAAGGTGACCACCCAGACCAATAAAAGAAAGGACCCTGGATTTTCTTCAACTTTGCAAGTATTACTTAACGTAAATAAACCAATCGTTTTTCCTTGTTAAATTAAATAATTGATTGGTTTACATTCTTTGTATAGTAAATTATTTGACTCCAATTTAATCAATCAATTGTTTTCGTATAAAATCTCTTAGAGAAAACAAATGAAAACTATGTTCACTTATAATAGTCAGTTACGATCACGGAGAAGTGCAATTTTAAATTAGTAGTGATATAAAATATAAATACTGAATCAATTAGTTCTCTCATGAGCTTTTGTGGTCGATACTTTCCTCATATAACTACTTCATTACGTACATTTTATTACATATTATGATTGCGTACGTCTACTGATGTTTTACGACTCTTGCTGTTTTATAGTTGATATGATTTTTGTAAATACTCGTACATTTTTCTATTTATTTCTGTAATTATTAATTAGTTCTCTAATATAGAAACAAAAAACACAAAATGCTGCACATTCCTTTGCCGGAAGGTACTTTAAAGCTACGTTTCGTTATTTATTTTCTTACTTTTATTTATTACGTTGATGATATAGCGTCATTACCGCAACCAACTAGTGACTCCTGATTAGAGATTACGAATTTACAATAGTTTCAATAACACACTGCGTCGATGTATTTTATTATACCACATAAAGGAGCCTCATGATTGATTGATAGCTTAGTAACTCTCATAAATTTATAGCAACAATGCTACAAATAATCAAAAACTTAGCGAAAGTTCGAGCACCGATGACAGTAAAGTGCTATTAATAACTTAAGAGCTGGTGAGTACTAAAACATTAGCAAAATTCTAAGCACTAATATCGTTTCAAGCTGTACCTAACGCTCAAGTGCTATTTACAACTGCTAAGGACAAACAAAAGAATAAAGAAAACTGAAACACTAATGATAGCCTAATCGCTATTGACAATTTAAGTATCAGGGATAACTAAAACGATAGCAGTATCCTAAGCGCTAGTAACACTTCAAACCCTACCTTACGCTCAAGTGCTATTTACAACTGCTAAGGACAAACAAAAGGATAAAGAAAACTGAAACACTAATGATAGCCTAATCGCTATTGACAATTTAAGTATCAGGGATAACTAAAACGATAGCAGTATCCTAAGCGCTAATAACACTTCAAACCCTATCTTACGCTCAAGTGCTATTGACAACTGCTAAGGACAAACAAAAGGATAAAGAAAATTGAAACACTAATGATAGTCTAATCGCAATTGACAATTTAAGTATCAGGGACAACTAAAACGATAGCAGAATCCT